ACAATTAAAATTTTAAAATTTAATTTAAACTTACTTCCGAAAATGAAATAATTCGTCGCAGGTGACTTTTAGACTAAATTCTAAAATTTTAATTGATAAATCCTAATCTGATCGATTCGGGACTTTTAAACCCGAAACTTCCAGTTGTGCTTTCAAAAGGCGTCCGGAGTATAAACACAATAAGGAGAGGACCCCATGGACTGAGAAAAATTTATTCTTGTTGTTTTTTCGCTCACACTCAGCAATCTCTCTTCGTCACTCTCAACCTGTGCATGTATCTCACTCAAACAAGACGCACAACAAAGATTCATTGCAAACTCGATTTGTAGCTTTCAGAAAGTTGACATTAACGCAAACTTGCCAAGTCCTTGCGCCAACTGGTTGAAATTGTAAAACAAAATAGGAATACACATCAACCACCAAGTCTATCGTCAGTCGCCATTATTATCGTGCTGTGTTAAAACGTCGTAAAAGTTTCAGAACGACCCCTTTATTTTGATAATACACAAACTTTTTGGGAAATGTATGAATATTTTTCCATCCATTCTTCATAGAATTTTATTCGGTAGTACTTAATCCATGACATCTATAAATTTTAAGAGAATAATTTCATGACTGTTTTTATAATTACATTTTTGATCGGATGAAGTTTGGTAATGGTTGAATGTCCATATGGTGTTCTTCCTCCACACTGCAGAAACGCATAGTTCTTCCCTCCTCTGACGTAAGGGCATATCTTAGTTTCCACGTGAACCCTGTTCTACATGTAACTTCATGCTTTTCAGAGCTCACACATGAAAAGCCCCTCACGCAGCCGTGCTAAGTAAAAATGCCGTATAAGCATTTGAATGTCATCAAAATTCTTCTTTGAAAATATTTATTTTTGAAGAAAGCTATATTTATTTTTCCCTGAAATTTTCAGACTATATAGATCAAATTTCGAACGAAATCCTCTGAGAAAACGGAGGAGAAGTATTCAAAAATTTCCCTGAAAATTTCCGATTTGTCGAAGGAAATTTGGCAACGCCTGGTGGCTCATACGGCGTTCTTACCTAGCGTGGCAGTACGTACGTCAGAGGAGTGACGAGTAGGCTGCCGTACTAAGGAAGAACGCCGTATGAACCTTTAAGCGCGTTGCCAAATTGCTTCTAGTAAACAACGGATTTATGGAGAAATTTATAAAACATTTCTCCTCCAATTTTTCACATACATTTTTCGCAATTGCACTTAAATTTCTGAAATTTTCCAGGAAAAATTATTCATAAATTTCCTCAAAAATGAACATTATATCGAAGGACATTTGGCAACTCTCGAACGCTCATACGGCGTTCTTCCTAAGCACGGCGGTAGACCTCTGCAAAATCAATTCGCGGTTTTCCGCAACAAATCATTTCTCCGCTGAAACGTAAAGTTTGAACAGCTGTAAAAACCGACGCAAATTTATCGCTTCTCCATCCGCGTCCAGCCCTAAATTCGAACAGCGACTTTGTAATATCCTGCGGCCGACCGACCGTGCGCTATTTTCTCGGAATGCAATCCCAATCGGACGACCGGGAATGTCAAAGTGTCAGTGGGAAAATTATAGGTTTCCCAGCTGTATTTTAATCTCGGGTGTATGGAGCCGAGCGCTTAATCAGGCAGGGTGTGGCGCCTGGCGCCTTGCATTGCCAACTTGAGAGCCAAAAATTCACTAAACCCAGTATAATATTGAGCTTTTTCCTGGTTGGCAGCCTCGGTGACCGGATGAAACGCACTAAACTTTCCTTATTATGGTACCCAGAGATAATATACTTTAGAGGCCCTGCACGCATTGCCGTCCTCCCTAAAAAGAAATAGGAAAATTCCTAAAGTCCCTTTAGGGAGTCAACGCTCAGAGCTGTTTAACCGATGACCTGAGAATTGAGCCTTTGGTTTAGGATATCCCGACCTAATTTACGTTTAAAAATGTGCCCATCTAGCTATTTATGACCCACTATTTGACAAATTCCATTTGCGACTATTGCTCAGCAAGTTTCTCATCGATCGTTTTTAGACGAAAGGTAGGGCCAAGCTCTAAAATTAACTGTAAGGGAGGAAGAAAGAGAATAGGAAATGGGAGAAAAAGGAAACAAGAAACAATACGAAGGAGAAAAAAGAGAAAGAACAAAAAAGCTAAAAGAGAAAACAGAGGGAAGAGAGGGGCAAGAAAGATGAGATCCAAGATAAGAAGGCATTGAAATTGAGGTAGCAGGCGCCTCTTTGGTCAGAAAATCCTTCTTTTGAGCTCAACGATGCATAAGAAACGCCTTCATTGTGGAAAGATACTTCTTGGCGTGGCCTGAAAGGCTGAATAGTCGCATCATGTAAAAACTCGATCAAGAGTGCAGAAGCGTAGATTAGCGAGTTATGTGGTTACCAATTCTTTGATAAGGAGTGATTACGCACAATAAACGCCTTCATTGCGAGAAGATGCCTCTTAGTGTGACCTAAGGTCACACTAAGAGGATTTTAAGAGACGTACTTTTGGAACCTGAGGGGACTGAACGAGACAGGAAATTCATTCTCTCTCCATGAAGGTGCTCTAATCGGGGTGTGGCGCTCTGCACTTTGCATTGCCAATTTGAAAACCGAAAATACACCGACCTCTCGTAAAATATTGGAGATTTTTCCGGGTTGGCAGCCCTGGCTCTGGAAAGACGAACCCGGTTTTTCTGTAAATGGACACTGCGCTTCAGAGCGAGACAAGTCAATTATGCCCTGCAAGTCGGGTAACCAGAGCCTCGGTTTCGTAGACTCGTTCCATCATCCGTCGTCGAGTGAGGAAAATTTTGCGAATATTCTGGAAGGATGACTAGTGGCGGTCGTTCAATATGGATGGGATTAAAAGTAAAGTAGTGGCCGATCGATCAAGCTCTCCTGATAAACTCGGCACGGCTCTGCGCGTGATTCGTTGCCACTGTTGATAGATTGTGCTGGAGACATGAGGTACCTCATAGATCAAGCTAGAGTACTTTTATTAGAGAAACTACACTGAAAAAAAATATCGGTATATTTACTAAGAAAAGGGTAAAATTACCAAGATATCGGGGTTCTATTTGATCCCAGTTTTTTCTTGGTAAAACTACCATTTATGGAATTGGTAATTTTACCGAGAAATCTCAGTAAAACTATTGAACTTTCTCGGTAATTTTACTGGACCTTGGTAAAAACGCCAATATTTTTTATCGACTGTGGTAGAATTACCGAGATAAAATGGCAGTTACCGGGAATTGATTATCAATAAAAGTGGTATACTTACCTGAAAAAAAACGGTAAAAATACCGGTTTTTAGGTAAGCTTACCAGTCTGTCTTGGTAAAATTACCAATAATTGGTGAAAAAAGTGAGATGGTAAAGGTACCAACGGACCTTGGTAAAAACGCCGAGAATTTTTTTTCAGTGTAAGGCTACTGTAATGCCGTGCTAAGTAAAAATGCCACATGAGCATTCTAATGTTGTCAAATTTTTTCTTTAAAAATATTTATTTCTGAAGAAAGCTATGAATGTTTTCCCTTGAAATTTTCAGGATTTTTGGATCAAATTACGAACGATATCGTCTGAAAAATCAGAGGCAAAATATTCAAAGATTCTCTTGGAAATTCGCGATTTGTCGAGGGAAATGCAGGAACGTTTGATGGCTGGCTGGATCATTACTCATTGGCTAACAATCTAATCCAACCTAACTCGTAGACGTTAGGCGTTAGGTAAATGGTTTAAATTCAGCCTTAAAAAGTGAAGATCTTAAGCAGTTTTAAGGTGTCTGTAAATTGGCATCATTTCAACGCCAGATCAATGTGAGTTTTGGAAAATTAAGAGTGACAAAAAACTCCAAAAATATATTTTTTTAAACACAATAAAATTATTTGCTTATATAATGTTTTTTTTTTTTTTTTTNAAATTATTTGCTTATATAATTTTTTTTTTTTTTTTTTTTTGTTTTTTTGTTTTTTTTTTCAGTATTTAAAAATTGTCTGCCCCTCGGAATGTTTTGCCCTACGCTATAGCCAAAATTACACACTTTTTTTTAACCACATTTTGCAATTAGGAACTTCAATTTCTGGCTCATATTGGAAACAACATACGAGCCATCAGTATTCCTGTGCAGCTAAGGGGTTTTTATGTGTGAGCCAGAAATTGTAGTTCCTTATATTGCAAAATACGAGTACAGTCCATACAGCCCAATGGCAAATCCGACCGCGAGAATCATCAATCACCCAAACGGAGCAGCATCCCAATGCACCTGTATCATTCTTGCTCTGAATGGGAGCAACATCCTCAATAACCTTCGATCGGCGCACACGGAATCGAGTCAATAGTAGAGGTCGGACAAAATTTTAAAATTTCAAACGCTTGAAAGTCCGTTAATACAAAACTTTGAGGTTCTAAAAGTGATTCCATTGGTTTCCTCGTGAAATTTTCTTCTACCAGCACCCCTTGAAATTTAAAATTTGAGGGGATTAGCATCAAAATTTGAATCAGTGAGTTCGAAAACACACCAACTTGGTAACTCGGAATTGCTCAGTTTTCATAAAAGACGGTCAATTTTTATAAAAGTCATTGAAGTTAGCGCATCTGTTCAAACCTGGACCTTTGAAATGCCCTTAAATGCTTGTATTTTGGTGCCAAAAATCTTTTTCTTAGACTAATTTCTTCATTTACTGTTCGGTTTCGTGTGTGTCTTGATTCTTTTCATTTTTCCGAGTTTGTGTGTTTTCGTTCTCACTGATTCATTTGCAGTTTCTGTCAAAATTTTTTTGTCCGACCTCTTTAATAGACTCGATCCACTGTTCGGCGTCGGCATGCCCTCATCCGATAATGGACGAGGCGTGTTTTCGGCGTCATCTGAATTAAAGACGTATCTCAATTTCCAAGTGAGCTTTGCTTTACATATAAATGCATGCTTTCTGCGGCTCATACAGAATCTAGATACGCCTTTTACGCCATACGTTGGATAGTGAACTAACCAAGTTTCTGTGATTTCAGGGTCTCGTTCGGGAGCTCGAAGGGCTCCATGGTGGAGACGCTCATCTACGAGAGCCCTGTCCAGGAGGAGAACGAGCAGACCTCGCCCAACTCCCTCCTCTCAGACGCGGATCAGCTCCAAGGGTAAGTCACCCCTCGTCTCTCCGCCACCATCTCATCATCCCTCAATCAAACCCTAATCTCCTTTCCCCGATCTGCCGTTTCTCTGCTAGTGCGACCGCGCCTTCAACTGGCCGATGGATCGTATTCGATAGTGGTTCGGTGTATAGTAAGGTTCCGCTAGACGGAAAGTCGATAATACAACGCAACGTGATACAATTATTTCAACTCCTGGGTAGGCCAGATTGCATAACCAATGAATTGAAGGAAAACTGAGTTTTTCCGCTTGTTTGTCGTTGCCTCTTGATTTTCTTTCTCTTTCAGCAGAATATTCTCTATAAAGTTTAAGCTAAGAATTTGGCTTGTTTCTCTTCGGAAAAATAAAATAGGAGTGGGAATTTTGAAACACCGCAAATGATTGCTTTTAACATAAAATATGTTCACATCAGAGGGGGTATTTCTTGTTTGAAGCGTCGGGATGGAAAGATGGGTTTTTTTTGCCACAGTAGGTGGTAACACGAAGAAAAGTATCAGCCGTTAGAATAATAGTCACAGGTACCTGTTCTTTGTTGCGTTACGATATCATATTTGAACTACATTTTGCAATTTGGAACTAAAATTTCCAGCCCTTCTTCAAAAACACTTGGCTGCATCTGAAAATTATTGGCGGATACGTTCTCTCTAAATTGAGCCAGAAATTGTAGTTCCTAATTGCAAAATGAAGTTCTCTTTTCAGATTGATTGATTTCCAGTAATTTTTAGATTTTTCAGCCTCGAAAGCCCAAAATTATTTTATTTCTGGTGCTCACCAATTCCTCGAATACAGAATTAACAACGTGGCCGTCATGCATTTCCCCCTCATCTTCGATCAATATTTGTATTCCGCGTTTTGTTCCCTGCGTCCTGAACACAGCTTCTCACTCCCTACCAGAACCTTTCAAGTCCATTCTTATTCGGGGTGTATCAGCTTGCTTCAAGGGTAAGTCCCCCACCCCACCCCGGAGCTTCATCATCCCCAATCAATTCCTAATTTAGTTCCCTCAACCCATACCGCTGCGTCGCCCGAACGCACATTGAATTAGGTCGCTCATCCGAACCAAGGTCGCCACCTACTCAAGGCGCTTTCATCGGAGACATTTTACTCTGGAAAGCGCCTCAATTTTCGGGTAACTGGACACTGACGTCCGGAGGTAAATGGACCATGGATCGTATTTAAAAGTCGTTCCTTAGCAGCTCTTCTCCTTAGGCCCCATTTGGTCTACAGTGTGCTTAAGAGAGGTTTAAGGAAGCCCCATTTGGTTTACATTGTGATTAAGAGAGGTTTAAGGAAGCCCTCAAGATAGCATCATAAGAAGGACGATTATTTTGCTAACCTCGAGACAATCGGAAATGGATCATTGCAATGATTACAATGTTTTGCTTCTACAAAAAATACAAAATACGTGAGAAAAAGTTCTCTAATTTTGACAAACTGTAGGGTAGGTGCGAACTTTCCCTTATAATTGAGGAAATTTGCAGCATATTTTCTTTCGTATTTTGGAGTTTTTGTACCTAGTGGTAAATCACTGTTATCCCTTCAGAGACCCATTTCCAAAGCTATACTGCTGATTTTAACTCGTCTGGACTGGAAATGGATTCCTGCAAGGAATTTTAATGATTTGTCTTTTGGGCATCCTAAGGCAAGGATCTGTTTAAGAAACGAACAATAAAAGGACCCCAAGAATCGGGGCACAAGAGTAAAATGCAACCATATCGACGCTCAAGGAGGTTGGATTGCATAACGGAATGCATTTGGAATGGAGGAGCTTTTAGTTTGCAAAGTTTGACTCAATGAGTCAGTTGCGCAGGCACAGAATGGTGTTTTGATGCCGATTATTCTGGATTACCTAGCCAAAAATAATAAGATCTGTCCAAACCACATATTTCTAAGTTTATTATTAACAGATATATCGCGCTTTGAAAAATTCGGTTCATGGTGTCATCCACCGCGGTAGTGACACCCACGGTTTCTTCCACCTTGCTTTCATCCGAGATTCACGTCGAGTAACCAGTAAATGTGTGTCTCCCTGACTGATGAACGCAAGGTAGAGAGAACCAGGGGTGTCACTGCCGCGGTGGATGACGTCAAAAATATAATTTTCCAAAGCGTGATATCTCGGTTAATATTGAACAAAGAATGTTATGGTTTGGACAGAACTTATTATATTTAGCTGATCTACATGAATCAAGCATCAAAACACGATTATATGTGGCCAGCACCGCTGACCCATTGCTCGAGGCACACTCAGAAGCACAATGCCTCAATTTTGGACATGCTCTTTTCTATGACACGGCAGCTTAAGTTGACCACGGAATGGAGATGTTGCATGTGTGAGGAATTTGCGATTTAACTGCTGATTCTTATGTAAAAGTTTGCGAGAAACACGATGGTGCCACTGGTTTTCTCTGAAATCGACTCCAAAGCTCAAAAAAAGCTCTCAAGTTGAGGCCAAAATGGAGAGGATATCCCACGCTATCCTGAGATTCCACCTCTACATCAAAACAAACTCTCCATGCAAAGATAGGGAGCAAATACATTGACAGGGCTGCTACTTCATTTGGGGACTCCACAACTGAAAACACGGCAACCCTGCTAATGTATTTGCTCCCTATCTTTGCATGGAGAGTTTGTCTTGATGTAGAGGTGGACTCTGAGGATAGCGTGGGATATCCCCTCCATTTTGGCCTCCTTTTTTTGAGCTTGAGAGTTAATTTCAGAGAAAACCAGTGGCACCATCGTGTTTCTTGCGAACTTTTACAAAAGAATCATCAGTCAAATCGCAAATTCCTCGCACATGTAACATCTCCATTGCCTACTTCCGTAGGTTCGGCAACGAAGAGATGATGTGACGGCCGATCCGAAGGTGGCAGGTCGACGGACGGGGACGTCTATGATTGCGTAATGAGTTACCTCTACGGTTACACATACGCGGCCGGCGATGAATGAATTATGAGTTATGGCCCAGCCGCGAGGCAGCTCATCAGGAGCGACCGGCTCCGCAAGGAGGATCAACGGCCGACGGGTTCCCGCTACGGCTCTGGGACCGGGTCCCTTTTACGGAAACGCTCGCTCGCTGCCACCGGTTATGACTAGAAGTTGTCACTGCAACGTGCACCGCCATCCGTGGCGTATGCCGTATGACGCGCGGCCTTCAGACGCCGGGACCTTGACTCCAGGGTTGCAACGCGGTCCCGTTTTTGGATTTAAGATCGCGGTGCCGAGGTTTATTCATCGGCGAACGAGCAGAAACAAAATTCCGTACATTCTCCAGAGGCGCATAGGTCATCAATACCTCAAAATGGACTGCGTCAAATCGAAAGGAACCAAGCCACATCAGCACGGAGTAAAAAACTTCGTGAATGGGACCCGAAGTTGAGGTCATATGGATCTCTGAATTTTTTGGATCACGCATCCAAAAACTGAAGGTCCAACTGCCGAAGTTCGGGTCACACAACAACTGTAGCACTAAGGTATATATGTACGGGATACTTTAGATGTATGACCCGAACCCTTCGGTATGTACCTAAGTACTTCAGATATCTGACCCGAACTTCGGCAGCTGGACCTCACGTTTTCGGCCAAAAATTTGAGAGATCCCTATGACCTCAACTTCGGGTGCCATGCACGAAGTTTTTTTCTCCGTGAGCTATTGCCAAATTTAATTGGGCAATTTAAATCTTTACCTGAAAACGGTTGTGCGGATTTTTCTGCAAATTTCAGTGAATTTTCTGAGTATAATACGAAGCAAATTCCTCAAAAATGTCAAAGGAATCCGCAAAAACGTTCTCTTGTAAAAGATTAAATTGCTCTATTAAATTTGGCAGTAGCCGATGTGGCTTGGTTCCTTTCTGGTCAACGCAGTCCAAATACTTTGACCAAGGACAAGTTCCATCGGACGCCGTAATGTCATGAACAGCCGAACGCATAGCAATCTCGCGGAGGGTCCTCGTGAACTCAAAGGATCTTTCTCTCCAAAGCCAAACCTCGACATATCCATCGCCCATGCCAAAAAGTAAGGTTAAGCCAATGATTGTAAATAACTCTTACGGCGGCGGAATTTTTGAAAAATTAGTACGTTCTTGACGTTGATCGAACCTTTTCGAACACGTTGGTTCAGCCGCCTAGTAGGATTGGGGGAAAAACCTGATATAAAACAGGGTTAAACGGCCAGACTGCAGGGAGCGTGTTCTATGGGTCAAAATAATACTTTTTTTTCGTATAAAGTTTTTTGCCAAAAGTTCCTCCAGTCCAAGCTACGGCCCCGCAAAATTTCGGAAAGTAAATCGTTTTTCCTGAATTTTGGCAACGGTTGTGACGCAAATCTCATAAAAATTCGCATTCCCCTGAACTTTTAAGCTCTGAATTCGAAAATAATGTATCAAAAATCGAAACCTCAATTTAAAGAAAGGGTTGGGGGTGTTTCGGCTCCTGCAGTATGGCCGTTTCATCCTGGATCACCCTGTGTACATATGTGATCCGCTGGATTTTTTGCGAAGTCCAACATTCGATAAAAGCAGTTAGTTGCGAGAATCCTACGCGAGGTTGCAGCACTGGTAATGCTTACGGAGTTCACATTAGTTCTCATGGGACTTCAGGGCCCTTTGGAGATCATCCCCACTTTGACCCCCCAAATGTTCGTTTTTTGTCTCCCACCAAGAGGAAAATTTCGGACTTACACGACTTAACAACGAATTTTCCAATACATTTGTCCATTATCCAAAGAAATTTGGCAACGCCTGAAAGTTCATACGCCGTTCTTCCTTAGCAGCACAGCAGATGAGAACCCCCGCGTGCGAGAGCCGAAAGCGCTCGCGCGAATAATGCAACAAGGAAGTGATAAACTGCGTGCAAGCAGCGTGAATTGCAGAAAACTCTTTCCGACCCGACTTGGTTCATCAAAAACCTATCAATCATCCACGCCGGAAACAGTGGCGTGGCGTGGCGTGGCGTGCTTTGCGATACATCGATTGATCTGTCATTTAAA